ATCCCAGATATAGAGTAATTCATCTATGCATGCAAGCCAGAAAAAATGTTGTTGGTTAACTATAAACACCTTTCTTGACTCAAACTAAAACCTCCCCTCCTCCCAAAAGAAATATTCCATTTTTCAGCTGGGTGTGTGTAATTTTTTGAAGTGTGGGAGAATGTGTGAGTGTGAGTGTGTAAAATACTTTCATCCAGACTTCAAAAGAAAAAAATAATCAGTCCTCAGTGTTACATATTGTTTGCTCAAAATTAATTTTATTTTTTTTTTTTTTGTTTAATCTGGAAGAAAGTTTATGTTTAAGTCATTTCACGTATAAAATGACTTTATGATAAATTCATAGCTTGAAATACCTGGGGAGGGGGAATATGTAGAGTTTGCATATTTGGGGGAGAATAAAATTTGGGTTGAGCCTGTGCTGAATGGGTAATGATGGTCATTTTTGTTAACATAAATGCTATTCTGGCCTGCTGTCATTTTGACTAGACCTCTTGCTTTCAGTGATGACAACTTAAGAAACAGATGTCATGTTTCATACCTTTTTTATCAGGAAAAAAGCAGCAAGCCTTCAGGTGTTCCAGTGATGCCTAACACATTTTGAGCTGGACTTTTGCTGTACTTTACAATAGGTGTGTTGAATTGTTTTGGGGGAACTCTGTATGGACTGGCAACTAAGACAATGAACCTCAACTTTTACTGGATGGCTCCTTAGTCAGTACATGAACTAATGGCAGCTAAATTGCTACTAAGGAATAGTTTCTTCATGCTGAAGCTCTGAAATCCAGTTGTTCTGTTCCTCAACAAACTCTCAAGTCTGAAATTTAGCAGTCTCTCTCAGAAGATGTAACTTCTGACACATGCAAAATGCTAACGTGAGTTCATTCACCCTCAGGATCTGTGTTGTATTGGCTGTTTTTAATCAGATAATTTTTCAACAAAAGACTGCTTTAAGTTCTTTCCTGAACTCAGCTGGGCAAGCAGTCCTCTTCAGCTGAATGTGTAAGTGCAGGAGTGTCACACCTCGCTGGCAAGGAACGTGTTGCATGTCACCACTGTCCCTTGGAGAACCTCCACTCCTTACCTCCTCCTGCTGATCCTGTTTGCTCCTGTCGTTCCTCACTTGTGCATCCACTCAATGGTGCTGTGCTGTGTGTCAGGAGATAATGCAGATGTATTGCTGTTCTGCTAGTATCATTTGTATTCAAGTATGCCAATGAAATAATGAAATCACCTAAGCAATTTCTGTTCATTACGGTGGTTATTAATTATATCAGATGAAATATAATCCCAGTAAAAACTAATTAATGTTGTCAGTTGTGAAATGATGAGCATCAAACAGAAAAGTGTTCAGAGAGCCTGCAGTGCTGCTTGGCGCTCTGGATTGAGGAAGGAGATCAGAAGTGCACTGCTGGTGTTTCCTAATTCTGCTTTATTTTATATCTGACTGGAGTTTACTGGTGCCATGCAGTGAAGGGAAAAAAACCAGAGGAGATTCAAAGTGACGAGAAATGGAATTTTCAAATACTTCTGTTCTTCCTATGTATACTCTGCAGAATACATTGTGCTTTTTTCAACACTTTTTTTTTCCATGAGAAACACTGAAACAGCATGTTAATGCCTAAACTTTATTAGTACCAATGGGAAAACTGGCATTTTCCCCCCATAGTATGAAAACATTACTTGTAAGGTAAATTGCTTATTTTATATTATATATCATAATTCAGCTATTCATAAGCTAGGATCATTGTTGTGTGTTAACACTGTTCAGAAGACCGACATGTCAAGTTTAGGTTTTAATAATTTCTTTTAATTATCAAGTTTCTAATGTCTTATTTATACATAAATGAAATGTATTAGCTTGCTATTATTCCTTAATGATGCTATAAAGTTCACTGTTTAAGATACATATAGTAACTACTATTCATTTTCTTGATTAAATTTACTGAAACTTTAAAACCAAATAATTTTGCTACTATAAAGTCTTGCACTGGACAGATTCAAGATGCTAGCACCATATTTTGGCAGAAAAAAAAATCAGATACCATCAGAAGCAGCTGACTTTGGTATCAAAGATGGTATTTTTAAAATCAGCACTTAGCTTTGTCATGAAAGCAATGTTCTTTATATCTTGGATTTAGTTTAAAGTAATCAAATTAACTAGAGCCATTAAAGATCTCTCTTCTGAATAAATATATTTTCATTTTGTCTGAAGGATCTTAATGTTCAGTCAGGACAAAACGAAGCCTTGTCAGTGAAAAGTGATGTATCTGTGAAGAGAATTACCTGGAACTACAATACACTGAGTAATTCAGATGAGAATTTAACTCCCTTCCCCATTTTGAAGAGCTTTAAAAGGCAGAGCAATGTGAAGTCATTTGTGCAATGGTTTCATTAGCTGTGGCTCTGCTGGTCTTTGTTATATGTATAATAATGTTTCATGCTCCCCTTAGAGTTGACAGTTAAAACAGCTGATAGCAATCATAAATACTTGGAACTGCAGACTTCATTTCTGATTACAAAAAGTTTATTCTTCTCTATTTTAATGCATATATTTTAACACTGCTAAATATATTTATGACTTTAGTAGACACTAGACCTTTCTCCTTGTGACTTTTTTTTTTGAAATAGAAGAATCTGTATTCTGAAATTTGAACCACTTTCTCTTCCTTCAGTCTTGCATCATTTGCTTTTCCACAGGTTTACTTTGGGGGTAACAGTAATCTGTTAAGTAACTAGTATCAGCACCCTGTCCTCTGCTGTAAAAAGCCTGATTAGATACTGTGTATGTTTTTATGTCCATGAACTTGAGCTACTCGTGTGCAATTATGTGTATGGGAATGGAGTAGTGTTCATGATCTGTATTTACATCATCATATGGATGTATATTTATTAATAAAGTTAATACTTTAAAACCTAAATATTGTTCCCTGGTTGGTTTTTTTTAGTACCTTTTAAATTCTGGCTGAAGATGCCAGTTGACAGTGTTACCTATTTGTTACATATATTTACATTAAGGCAAAAAGATTGAGTTGCAAGGTGTCAGGAGATAGAGGAATGTTGCTTATTTTTGAATGAATTGAAAACAATGTGACAGTAACTTAATTGTACTTGTCCTTTCACACAAATAGCAGAAAAAGGGAGGAAAGGAGCTATAGCCCTCTATGGATAAATAGTCAACTGCTAACTTTTCCCTCTGTTGCACATAGAAATCAAATTGAAAGTACTCATAAATAAAGTTTCCATTGAATAGTGGTCATAATTCATTATTCTCTGATGAATAAGACACATTTATCCCTGTATTCCAGGAATATTTGTGCTATGGCAGGAACGAGATTATGTTAGGATTAAATTCACAGTAAGAAATTGTTTTCAAGTTGCAAATGCTGTTTTGACTAAAACATAAGGAGAAGGGGGAATGGGGCAGCTTGTTCTCTGCTGGTCTGCACCAGTTTGGATTCCCTTTGTGCTTTTGCTTTCAGGCTTGCTCTGTATCAGCTCATCTAATTAAATGTTTTCCCTCTATGTGCAAACCTCATGTTTTCTATTTTTAGATTATCATGTCCTCATTATTAGTGCTTATGCAAATTGGACTTTGAAAGAAAAAGCTTCAAGCGAGAAAATGTGTGCTGCAAGGAGTGACACAGTTGGAGAACTACACCTGAGTAAAAACAAAGCTAAAAATCCAGTCTCTGTGATAAATGACCTGCATCTTCATTTATACACATGTACTTGATTTTTCCTGCCCTTTTCACGTGTGCATGCTTCATGCTCCCGTCAGTCACGACTATCAGTTTTTGACAGATGCAGAATTTTGGCAAAATCTCATTGTGCACTACTGGCAGTTTTAAGGAAGTGTGTTAAAAAAGATAGCAGCACTTGAAGTAATGTGATAATTTTCACAAGTCCCAAATAGTCTTGAAGCTCCACTATTAAACAAATAAAATAAAAACTAATTCTGCAACAGGAAAAATACGGTGTCCTAAAAAGGAATATGGGAGTATTTCTCTTGCCTTTCTGCTTGGGAGCTTGGGTTGATAAGCTGCTGGACAAGAACTGTTTTATTTTAAAAATACACCTTTAGTTTGCCGCGTTTTACCCATACCCCAGCCTGCTGTAGGTTAAGGCACAGTTTGTGTGCAAACAACTCCCAAACGCTGCTTCCCTAGCGAGGGTGGGAGCGGGCAAATCCTTCACCAGGCAGTGCGGCCGTGGGGAAGCGCTGGGGCTGCAACACGCTGGCACCAAAGCAGGCTTTGGGATGAATGCCAGGCACTCGCTGCTCAGTCACAGCAGCCTGCCGAAGCCATTGCATGGCACTTGTCTCGTTGCAAGAATTTCCGTCCCGAGCTAATTTAAATCAAGGGAGAAATTACTCCAGCAGCACTAGCCGACAGCCGGCCCGGGCAGCGGCTCCGCTCACCGCGGGCTCAGCCCTGCAAGGCGGGGTCACAGAATCATGGCATGGTTTGGGTTGGGACTTTAAAGAACATTTTGTTCCACACCCCTGCCATGTGCAGGGACATCTTGCACTATCCCAGGTAGCTGCAAGCCCCGTCGAGCCTGGCCTTGAACACTTCCAGGGATGGGACACGTTCCAGGGATGGGGCAACCACAGCTTCGCTGGGCAACCTGTGCCAGGGGCGCACCATGCTCACCATTCCGGTCACAACATGCGCTTGTAAATAGTCTTGTCCCATCCTTCCTATAAATTCCCTTCAGGTACTGGGAGGCCGTAATTAGGTCACCCGAAACCTTCTCTTTTCCAGGCTGAACACCCAATTCGGGGCTCGGCGGGGCCGCGAGAAAACTCGGATAGACCCAGCCGCTTTGTGTAACACGAGCAGGGCCCGGCCCCGCTCCGCTGTCCCACCTCCCTCAGGCCCCGAGGGCTCTTCCCACGGAAACAGGAGCGGCAGCGGAACGGGAAGTGTCCCGGGGATCCGGCGGAAGCGTTCGTTGTCCGGGGAGACGCGGCGGCGGCCGCCGGGGCCGGGCCTGTGCGGAGGATGTGGCGGCTGCTGCTGGCGCTGGCCTGGCTCGGTGCGGCCCTTCCCGCAGGTGCGGCCGGGGGGCTCGGGGTGCGCGGTGGCGGGGCGGGCGGGCGCGGTGCTGACATCCCCTCCGTGCCTGTGTGTCCCCGCAGGAGCGGCGGAGCGGAGCGGCCCCGAGCCGGTGCGGTACCGCACGGCCGAGATGGCGGACGCGATGGTGGGCAGCGAGGCCCTGGGCGAGCAGCCCGTGCTGCTGTCGGCGGTGCCGGCCGAGGCGAGCGGCGGCCCGGCCGGGGCTTGCGATGGCGATGCGTGCCCGGCCCGGGAGCAGCCCGTGCTGGAGCCCGTGCTGCCCGCGGCCGCCGAGGAGCAGAACGGCACCGACAGCGCCAAGGCACCCAAGGTGAACTGCGAGGAGAGGAACACGACGGGCATCGAGCGCTTCACGCTGCAGATCCTCAACGTGTCCCAGGTACAGTGAGCGGACCCGCTCGCTGCCCGCTGTCGGTGTGACCCAGGCTGCCAGCTGCTCTCAGTGCCTGACTCAGCGAATTTCCCTGGGTAACGTCCTCAGTCCTACCGAAGAAAATATATGACTGGGAAAGGAGGCTTTTTGGGCCATTCTGAGCAGGGAAAAATGGAGTTATGGCTTGCTTCGTGTGCCTGTGTGTGTTACCTCTGTGCCTTCAGGGTGCTGCCAGCTTTCCTGCTCTGTGTACTGGTGTTTCTCTTGGAAATCGTTAATGGCAATTAGTGCCAGCTCTTTTCTTGAAATACTTATGTGCATGTATATTTTTAAGTAACAAACTTTTAAAACAGCCTTTTCAAAAGGTTATCTACAATTCTCCACCTGCTTTAAAAGGTGCAGCTGCTTAATCAGTATTGCCAGGTATCCGATCAATTGCTGAATGCTGCATCTCTACACAGAATTTAATTCTGTTAAATATGGAATTGTCCATGTTTGCTCTCATACTTTCTCCAAGGACCTGATGGAGTTCCTGAACCCAAACAGCAGTGACTGTACATTGGTCCTGTTCTACACGCCGTGGTGCCGCTTTTCTGCCAGCCTGGCACCTCATTTTAACTCTTTGCCCCGAGCATTTCCTACTCTTCGCTTCCTGGCACTGGATGCATCCCAGCACAGCAGGTAACTCACACTCCCTATGCTCTAGCTGCAGTTCATTTCTGTTAGCTTTCAGTTTTATAAACAGGAGTGACGTTTTCTCTACATAAACTGACAATTTTATTTAGTGAAACTGACACTTTTGGTATTGTGACTGTCTCTAGTTCTTCCTCCAGAAGATTTAATTTCCTTCATGCTTTGTTTTTGCTTTTTGTAGTTTATCAACTAGATTTGGAACTGTGGCTGTACCAAATATCCTTCTTTTCCAAGGTGCTAAACCTATGGCTAGATTTAATCATACAGACAGAACTCTGGAAACCCTGAAAGACTTCATCTTTAACCAGACAGGTGTGTAAATCAGCTCTGGTTTGCCAGTGGGAAAAACAGGCTGGCTTTAAGGTCCAAATTGGGCTTTCCTCTCCCTGTGTACCCTGTGAGGACTCAGCAGAGGTTCCCTTAATCAGTTGTTGCTGTGAGCTGGATTTCAGCTTGTGCTGAGAGAAGAAACTCAGCTGCTTGGGCTGCTGTCACAGAGCAGGGGGAACAGTGGGGTTTAGCTAGAGAGGCTGCCAGAAGGATGGAGCATTATCTTCCTGCCCAAAGATTTAATTGAGAATGAAATAAATGAAACTCTCTTTGCCACTCAGCTAGCTCTTTTCTAATCCACACTGACGTGCTGTCTGGGTCTGTATTTCCAGAAATGCACAAAAATTATATTCCTGAAACACTCTGTATTAAATTTCCATGTGCTGAAAAACTCCCACAACTCCCTTATCCAAGGCTGTTTTGTGGGAGGACAGAAGAAGTTTTCTCCTGTTTTGCAAATACACATAAAAATCACTACATTTTTATATATCAGTAAATCATATATGTGGGTATAGGTTTATGTACAAGGGCCATCTCACCAAAAGTTTAGTCTACCAGAGTTTGAGCCTTAGTCTGAGAGCAGGAACAAAGCTCCAGATAAAGCAGCCTCTCTGTATTTTGCAGTTACGATGTTGACCAAGTACTTTGTTTTCTAGGGATAGAAGCTAGAAGTGATGTGGCTGTGACAGAGGAAGACTGGGAAGGGCCCCTGCCCAGTGTTCTGACCAAGGGCATAGACTGGCTGCTGCTGTTCTCTGTGCTCTTCCTGGCTGCCTTTGTCATGTACGCCACCGTCCGCACCGACAGCATCCGCTGGCTCATCCCGGGACAGGAGCACGAACACCAGGAATAACCCCAGGTGTTCAAACAGGGACAGGATTTTGCACTTATTGGTAAAGGGGGAATTTTTATGGACTAGAAGTACCTAAGAATGAACTGTTGAATTTGTTGGTTGTAATTTATAATAATGACTAAAAATTGGCTTTATTTATGAGCTGCCGAATCTGTGACAAGCCCATTTGTGGCGATTCCAGTGGTAAGTGAACAAGTATGAAAAAACATGAACTAAAGTATTTATTAAGCTGCTCTGATTGACCTCTTTTTAAGGAACTTTAATGTAATTAATGTGACAGTTCTAATTTGTAGATCAAGGAAGATTTTTACATCACATTGGTCTGTGCATGGCACTGCAAGGCAAACACTGGTGAAGGGAGGTGTTGGTACATTACTTTGACTGTCCATAAAATGAACTATGAAGATGTTTTAAATGATTTTTCACTCCTATGGAGGTGACTGTTCCCACCTCTGGCACTGGGGTTCAGTGCTGGTTTTCTCATCTGAGTTTTGACTTAGTAACAGTTCTTTATGAGATTTAGAGTCACTTCCCAAGCTCACCTCACTGTTTCTCTTTGTGTATACAACTTATTTACCACATTCCTGTTGGATGAAATTGTATTAATTGTCCTTTAAAAAAATAAATCAGGTTTTTAGTGTAACCTTTTAAGTCCCTTTCTTTCAGAAGTAAAAACATGCAGTTTCTGAACTACAGCTCACCTGCTGAAATTAGCAAGACCAGTCTTGATGTTTATTTAAATTTCTAGTACCATGTTTGCTAGTTTCACACTCTCCGCTTGAGGTTACATAAAGACTTTATGGGTTATTTTAGTTATGATTAGTATGGAGGGCTTTGGATAAGGTATGGACTGGTATGTTGTGTGGATTATGTGATTGCATAAAATATATCATAGTGGAGGCTTGCCAGAGTATCCTAATGGGGTGGTTTAGAGAGCAAATTCAACTAACATAAAACAAAGACAGTCTTAAGACTTATTGTTTGACAGATAGCTCCGATCCCTGCAATGTAATTCTTCATGAATTTCTCTGTTGGCTCTATCATTTCCTCTGGAAACAGAGGTCATGTATATCTGTGTCCAAAAAGGAAACTGCGCTGGTAGGACTTCGGTCTTACTGAAGATAAAGCTGGGGTGAATGTTATTAATAAAGATTATTAATTGGAGCATTCTTGCCTCTGCCATCTGGTTCGTTTGAGAGGCCCGGGGTTGGATTGTCCCCAGTGCTCATGTCTGCACCGCTAACGAAACAGGGATGTGTTTACAAACAGAGCGGGGCTGTTTCAGTGCGGTCCCTGGGGTGGAAATGACCCCTGCCCGCTCTCTGTGCGACAGAATGCACCCGGCCGGCAGCTGTGCTCGGCCCTTCTCCTCCCGGGTAGGTGTCACAAATCATGGAACCATCAGGGTTAAAAGAGACCTGTTAGACCGTCCAGACCAACCCTCCACCGGCACCGCCACCGTAACCCCTAAACCACATCACCCAGCGCCGCGTCCCGGCGCCTCTGAAACCCCTCCGGGGCTGGAGACTCCACCGCCTCCCTGGGCAACCCGACAGAGAAAAGGTTTTCTTTAATATCTGATCTGAATGCTCCAATCCCAGCCTTAGGCCGGTTCTGCTGCTCTCACTGCAGGCACGGCAGAAGCGATCCCCACTCCAGCTCCTTCCAGGGAATTGCACTGAGCGCTGCAGTGTCCGAGCCTCCCCGTTCCCGACCGGCGGCCGCTTTGCCGGTACCACCCGCGGCCCCGGGCGGCTGCTGCGGCGCGGGCAGCTCCCTTTCCGCCGTCCTTCCGTCTGCCCGGCTCCTCCCGCGGGGCGGGCCGGCGGGGCCATGCCGGGCGGCGGGGCCGTGCTGCTGCTGCGGCGGGCGCTGCTGGGAGCGCGGCGGGCGGCGGGCGGCGCCGGGAGCCCCGCGGCCATGGTGAGGCTCGGGGGCACCGCGCCGGGCCGGGGCGAGGGGCGGAGGGGAGGCGCACGGACAGGCCGCGGGCTGGGGTCAGCCCGGCCCTGTGCCCTCGGAACTGCGGGAACTCGGATCGCTCAGCCGGGAGAAGCCTCCGGGGAGACCTGGCCGGCACCGTTCAGTGCGCCAAGGGGCATGGGGAGAGCTGGAGGGGATTTGGGCGTGGAGGGAAAGGGTAAGGGGGAATGGCTTCACGCTGATAGAAGGTTAGATGGGATATCGGGAGGAAATTCTTCCCCGTGGGAGTGGTGGGGCCTTGACAGTGGCTGCCCCGAGGAGCTGTGGCTGCCGCATCCCTGGAAGTGCCAGGCTGGGTGGGCAGGGAGCAGCCTGGGATAATGGAAGATGCCCTTGCCCGTGGCAGGGCTGGAACAAGATGGACTGTAAGGTCCCTTCCAACCCAAATCATTCTATTATTCTCCTTGTGACCCCCTGCTGTCCCACCTCACGGCTGATTATTTTATTTTACACAAAGCTAACAGCACGTGCAGGGTTCAACCCTTGCCCCGCAGGCATGAGTGTTAATTATTTTTTTTTTTTTTTTTACTTAATGACTGTTTTGCCTGGGCTTCCTCCATACAAACATTATCCATCGCTTGGGCAACCCCAGCACCCAACAGCCTCTGGGCCGTGAGTGTGGATCGGGTGCCAGCATCTCGGGTTCTTGGTCACCATTGGCACCCGGTGCCCGTTCCTGCCTCTCTGGGCTCTGGCCATGCCCCCGACGAGCTGCTGGGGACTGTGAGTGTGGAAAAGCCATCAGAGTTTTATCTTTGTCCTTGCTGCTTTTTGCTCCATTTCTGAACATCCTGATGTATCAAGGGACTGACTCAAGACGTGGCCTCCACAATGCAAAACGTGCTCAGTGTTCACCAGGGCCTGCATAAAATGCAGTCTCCATATTCCTATGAAAAACTCTGTGATCGAATTTCAGGTCACACCACTGTCTTGTCATGTGTCAGGTGAGGTGTCAGGAGGGCACCACAGTGTCCCCAGAGCTGGCACAGGACATCACTGTGCCAGCTGGACTTTGTGTTTGAGACAGCAAAGTCCAGCAGTCCTGGACTTTGCTGTCTCAAAAACCACCCCCCTCATGATTTTTTGTGCATTTGCAGTCAAATTTCATCTTGTGCCAGATAAAACAGTGCGTTTCAAGAAAGCCTTTAGCTTTGGTGATTTTTGTATATGCTTGAAACATATATAAAAAAAAGTAAGAAATTTATGCCTATGATGCAGTTATAGCAATGAAAAATCTGAAATTTGTGTTCTTGCAACCCTAACGTTGTGTTTGAAGTGTAAAGAGCCTAAATTAGTTCAGTTTGGTGCCTGTAAAACCCATCTGTTGTTACCTCTCTGTATTCCCCTAAACACAAACAGCAGCAGTGTTGCTGTTAGATTGATTTACTCCATTTGGAGTAAATCAATTTATCCTATGTTATTGGTGAAAACGTTGCTCCTTGGCCCTCGGGGATGTCAGGGCCGTGCTCAGGTCGCATTAATTGCGTTAATTCCTGCTCTGCTCGGACTCACAGCCCCATCTGGTGGCACCGGGGCTCGGCTGGCAGAGGTGAAACTCCTGAGTGCTGAGCCGGTCCTCGCTGCCTCCCCTGTCCGAGTGAGCCTCTGCAGCAAAACTGCCTTTCTGGGGGGTGTCACGGAGCTGAGCCGGCTCTGAAATAAAGAATAAACCAGTCCGAATGTAACTGTACTGGGGAGAAAGGTTCTTCCCACGAAAGCATTGCGTTTATCATGAGAACTCGAAAGCCATCTCTCAGAATTTGTGGTCTGAGGAAGGGCTCATGCCCTTAGTCCTGCTTTTAGAAAAGGAATCAAACCTCTCCCTGAGGCCCCACAGAGCGTTTCTCTGTGTCTGGCTCTGGGCTTGTGTGTGCTTCAGCCCCTGATTCAGATGTTTGAGCAGATATTCAGATATTTAATCTGTCATGTCTGTGCTCCCAGTGGCATCAGGAGGACTCGTGTCACATCAAGTGAGCCATACTTAAACACTGCTGCTTTGCAGAATTTAGTGCTTTTACCAGTAGCTTCAAACTTTTTGTAATTGGGTCTGTATTGACATTTTTTTCCTTTTGATTTAGTTACAAAGCTCTTTGTTCCTTGTAGAACTCCATAGCATGTGTCGTCTTATAAGTCCATTCCCACTTTCTTAAAATAGTAAAATACAAAGTAGGTAGAGTGCAATCTCCTGTTTTTCTTCTCTCTTTTGAAATAGATATTTCCTGATATTATTTTATCCTTATAATATTTTAGCCTTATAATTGTACATTTAGCAAATAATGTAAATAATCCTTTACTTGCCAGACAGAATGGAACATTTGGAAATTAAATGTGATGTTACAGCATCTGGATAATTCAGATGACCAAGGCTACAGGTATGCTGATGTCCATCTTCATTCCTGGAGTCTGTTGCTTTTCACTAGTTTTGTACAAAAAGCACTTGACCAAACTTACCTGCCCAAACAGAAATGGCAGGGTTGGTCTGGATTAGGTTAAACTGTTCTGTGAAATTACAAATGTTAAGAAACTGCACAGTGACTTTTCCATCTCCTCACCTTTGCACCATACATAACCCACAATTCCATCGTGTGGTTTTCTTATTGTTGTTCAAAGGAGAGCCTCAGCCTCACTTGTGCCATGCCTTTATTTTTTCCCTCAATAGTCCTCCCAGTCTCACTGGTTGACGACAGAGGAAAGGAATCAAGTTTTACTGGATCTCAAAGCTTCAGGCTGGTCTGAGCTGGGAGAAAGAGATGCCATCTACAAGGAGTTCAATTTCAAAAATTTTAATCAGGTAATGATTGTTATATGCCACTTTTAATATAAAGGAAATGTAATTGCTTTAATTTCCATATGGTCCTGATGGGAAAATATTTATATTCAGAAGTTTGGGAGTATCCTGGTGGGGCCAAATCCTCTTGGATTTGCCCTGATGATTTGCTCTCAGATTCTGATCTCATTAGGTGGAGTAAATTAATTCCATGTTGTAGTTGATAAGTAGATTTGTTCTAACATTACAGTTTCTTGATTCTAATACTCAGGTTGGGGTCAGGATTGGGATTGTGGAATCAGACAAAGCAGTATTTGATCCTCTTTTTTTTTTTTCATTACTAGCACTCATAAATAAATGCTGGAAATACATAACTGATGGGGAATGGGGATCATTTTTGTCAGGGAAATATGTGAGAAACATAGGTAAATATAAGAAACAACAGAAACTTTTGACAGGCAAGGTGGGGAAAACAGGATCATTTCACCTTCTAAACAGGAAGACAAAGTTCCAATATATCCTTGATTGAGTTGTAAAGATCTTGCAGTGTCTTTGGCACACAGAGTGCACGGTACTGGTTTTTATTTACCTCACTGGGTTTTGTTTGGAAACAGGATCCTGAGCCACATCTCACACTCACAAGAAATTGTCTCAGACATTAGTTACAAATTTGCTTTAGAAATACTGAATTTGTCTTGAGATCCCTGCTCAGCTACATTTCACTGAAAATTCCCTTCTGAGGAAAAATGACATTGCTTAGAAAAAGTCACACTCCCAGAACATGCATTAGAGAGAAGGTGGGTGAGGTGAGCTGGGAGAAAAGAAAAGAGAAAACAACTGCAGAAAAATGCAGCTCATTAGCAGGCCTGTGCTGGTCCAGGGAGCACGTCCAGAGCCACGAGTACATTTTTAACCTGAGTGTTAATACAGAGCAAATAGAACCAAATCAGTTCATTCCAAGGGCAGTGAAGAGGAGAAGTCCATGAGAGGGAGCTCACAGGAAGCCTTGGTGAGATGTGCAGGCAGCTGGAACAACCAGGAATGTGGCAGGATAGAAGTGACCCTTGGAAGAGTTGAGATTTTCTGTCTTTGAATATTCATGAAATGGCATCTCTGCCTGGTTGTGGTCAAAGTCTTTGTTGGTTCAGCACAACTAGAAGTGAAGTTGCCCTCAAAAATATTTAAAAAGTGTTTTTGCCCACTGTAAATG